ACGTGGTTGACTGACCCTAGAACATTTGAGGTTAGGGAAAGTATTCGAGAATAACGGGATATTTATCAAGTTAATTCGATGAAATATACGTGTTAATCCAATCAGCCAGCCCCCATGTTGGCCTTGCAAAAGTTGCAACCTTGTTACAAGTCAGGCTCTGATCAATTCTAAATAATCGATTACATGTTTCAAAACCAACTTTCAGTTGAGCAGATCGACATCAATCCGGGGATTAGCTATGATGTGACCTCATCTGCTATCAATGGAGGAACAAAATTGCAATTCTGCAAAGTCTGCTCAAATATATGACCCACCTTAAGCAACTTTCCCTGCAAAATCGACACCGGAAAAATCCTGTATCAGCAATCAGATACCCAACTCTAAAATTCCGTATTTTTCATTAATTCGGTAACTCTCCATTCAGTGTACAGTGTCCAGTACTAATTCCTGACAGAAATCAACATGTCACAATGTAGTAGGTGGGTAGAAAGGCAATACCTCGTCAAATGCTGCACCGATCATTTGAAGACCAACAGGAAGGCCTGCAGACCCCCCTTCAACAAATCCACATGGCAAAACCAGTGCAGGTAGACCTGCCAAGTTAACATTGACCTGCATACAGAATCAAGCAGAACAGGTTAGAGGTCATTTAGTCATCTTATGAGTGGAAACTACATGACAGACGATAAAAGTTTTGAAGGAGGACAAGCACTAGTGCAACGGAGAGCTAAAGAAACAAGAACCAACAGCTTGTGCCACCAAATGCCCCCAAAATGAGATTTCAAACCACTTTAAACTTCTCACTACAACCTCTAGAAACAAGGGTGACCACATTTCACCATCTACTCTTTTTAAAGACAACAAAATTGAGAGCACAAAATGGAAATGTAGGACAGGTTGAAGTGCATGTGGCAAAAATGCGTGGATTAACTAAAGAAATAAAGGCCTTATCCTCCGCCACACCCTAATAATACAACAACATTTTTTCTTTTCTGAAACAATATCTGAACAATTTTCCCGCAGATTACAACATGGTACGTGGGCAAGTATCATTACAATGATGAATGCATATCCAACATCATTACTCAATTATCATAGAACTCCTAGTACACACATAACACACACCCCATGCATATGCATATAATGAGCAGAAATTAAGAATTTTGGGCACTCAGAGAAAGTGATAAAGTTCTTACAGTCATTATGTCACCTGCATACATTGCTAACGGATCATTTTTCTTTTCACCTGAAAAAATACAAGTAAATGGGTGACTTACTGAAAAACCATAGAACATATGATAAGTATGCATCTGTGGAAACCGGCATACCAATCTTATAAGCAGCAGATGGAGCCGCAGGTGAAATTAGGATGTCATGTTCATCTAGTGCTGCCTTGAAGCTTTTTTGAATTATAGTCCTCACCTAAAACACTAACAGAATCATTAAGGCCATCTTGAACACCCTAAATTCATAGGATTAAGCATCTCAGAACATAACATAGTGAAGTAACCAAAATATAGATAATAGTGTTGGATTTTCCCACCTCCATGATGAGTTGTCCTAAGTCTAGTTGGAATTATGTTCTTAGAGAATTAAATTGCTTTCACAATTTAAGTTGTTTTCCCAATTGCAGTGGTTTGCCCAATTGGAGTGGTTTTCCCGTTAGAATTCTCAATCGGAGAAGGATCCATAACTACATTCCAATTAGGATTAGTATTTCTTACTGAAGAATTATGTCTATATAAAGGGGCTATTGCACTAGTTTTGAAATGGAGCAAAACAATAAGTTGTATACTACTCAAGGAGTTAGAGTGAAAGAATATTGTAAGGTAAAATTATGTGCGAGAGAAAAGAAAAGAGACAAGATTGTATTTCTTGTTCTTGTTCTTAAGGTTTTTCGTCAAGTCCTAATCCAAGAGGCTTGGCAAGATTATTCGTTGTACTAATTATTGATATTGTGAAAGTTTGTTGTTGCTACCCCGTGGACTTAGGCACATAGCCGAACCATGTAAATTCTTGGTGTTATTTATCTTGATTATTTTGTTTTCGGTTTCCGAGTTTTGTTCGTTGTTCCCATTCTTAAACGCGATATTCACAACATATAGGATAAACTCCTGCCACCAAAAGTCCACCTTTTAAATTAACACCAACATCATGGTACCTGCTGGGCACGCTTATAATATGCATCATAATAACCAGCTGAAAGGGCATACGTTCCCGTTAGAATTCTCCTTTTGACCTGCAAGAAAAAGGAAAAGCATTAAATGAAGTTACCAACTATTATAAGTCTGTAAAACAAAAATAAAAAACTAGACCAAGAGTACTGCAGTTCCAACTAATAGAAACTTCATAAAAGTTGTAAGTTTCAACCAGCCACCTATACATAGTGTACCTCAGAACCAAAACCCTTGGCTCGGGAATCTTTATATTGTGAGTTCAACTCATCAGCAGGAACTTGGTTTCCATACCTGGATATGGATGAAAAACAAATAATAACGAATGTGAGCATATTCGTCATTCTGATATACCATCTGGAGAGAGTTTTAAGAATACATTTAATAACTTCTTATCTTTATTCATAGTGGATCTAAACAAGCTTCACCCCACTCATTTCTCTTCTCCCATTTAAATATACAAATGAAAAAACTTACTTATATATCAGAAAAAACTTCTGGGTTAATTACCTGACACCATCATAACGTGATAAGTTTGAAGACGACTCAGATGAAGCAAGAATGTAATAGGCTGGCAACCCAAGTGAAAAAGATGGTAATGAGACCTGCAAGTTAATGTTTCAAGAATATATGAATCAAGACCTAAGACGGGGTACACATGACATAATGAGGGAAGGAACAGATACGAGCAATTAAAGGAAAAAATATTGATAGAAGGTAGACCTCGGTTACGGAGCATCCTAATTCTTCAAGATGCAAAGCGGCATTACGAACTGCAGAAGTTACTCCAGTATCAACACCATCATCCAGAGTTTCCCGGATCAGACCAATCCTCAATCCTTTAAGAGGTTTGGAATCTAGCGAACTTATGGAAACAAATTCAGCTTCAAGGTTGGGAACCTCCTGAAAGGAGAAATTTAAATGCATGTGTCTAGCAAACAATATGTGATACTAGTCGTTTTAGTCTTCACATAAAAAGACCAAAAGTTTTCAGAGTTCGCATTCAGGATACACTATGACAAGATTAGATGACTTATAAGATCAAGATGTAGAAAATTTTCTTACACGCTTGCTGCTAGTTGCATCAAGTCTATCATGCCCAGAAATTGCATGGAGAAGAATCCCAGCATCAACCACAGACATACCAAAGCAGCCGATGACATCAAGTGACGATGCATACGCCATAAGTCCAAATCTTGAGACACGCCCATATGTAGGCTTCAATCCAACAACACCACAAAACGAAGCTGGCTGCCTCACACTTCCACCAGTATCACTCCCCAATGACACCATACACTGCCTAGCAGACACAGCTGCTGCCGAGCCTCCCGATGACCCTCCTGGCACCCGAGACACGTCCCACGGGTTTGCAGTCACCTAATGAATGAACAGATGCACCGCCTGAGTAAACCAACCCCAGTTACGCGTGCGAAACATAAAAAAACGAATTTCGACAACCTCACTCCCTTTGACTCTTACAAATACCAACAACCAAGTTGCTTCACTATCCACAATCAAAAGGTAACTCACATTCTAAAAATTCCATGAAACACTAGAATTAACTTCCTTAATATCCAACTAAAATTTCACTCCCATCAAAAGTTACAAACTTTTTATGAATTCCCACAAAATTTAATGACAATAATGAAAAATGCACAGAATCCACGAAGTAGATTGATCAAAAGGAACCCAGAGAGAAAAACCTGAAACGCTGAGCCTTCAGTGGTGCTACCCATGCCAAACTCATCCAAATTGGTTTTCCCCACCACAATCCCACCCAGCTCTTTTATCTTCCTGACGGCAGTGGCATCATACGGCGGCGTATAGCCCTCCAAAACACGAGACCCAGCCGTGGAGGGCATCTCAGCCGTGCAGATATTGTCCTTGACGGCGACAAGGACCCCAGCCAAGGGCCCCAACTCCTCATTCCTCTGAATCTTCTCGTCAAGCTCGCGTGCTTGGGCGAGAACGGAGTCGGAGACGTGGAGGAAGGAGCGGAGGTGGGGCTCGGTGAGGCGGAGGCGGGCGAGGAAGGAGTCGGCGAGCTGGGTGGCGGTGAGGTGGCGGGAGAGGAGGGAGTGGCGGGTGGAGAGGATTTGGGAGTGGGGGAGTGGGTTTGGGGATTGGGGTTGGTCTGTGATGGTGGAGTGGATGACGGGCTGTGAGGATAAGGAAGATAAGGGTTTAAGGGAGGTGTAGCGGAGGAGGAGGGTGGGGTTTGTGCGGAAGTGGGAGAGCGAGCGCGGTGGTTGGAGTGTTGATAGCATCGTTTTATGGAATGGATTTTCTCTGCAACTGTGATTTGTGAGATGAATGGCTGAAATAGTGGAGTTATGAACTTATGAGATGATCAACTGTTTATCTGTTACTTTTGTTTGAAATGTTTACCCAAATAAGAGAGTAAAAAACCCGTTGAATTGTTACCACTTTTGGAAATCTGGTATATTGTGAAGAATTTTGCCTGGCCAAAAATGTTGGGTAGGTGGCGGCAGCGGCGATAATGGTGGGGAACGGTGGTGGAGGAGGGGAGGTGAGGAAGTGGAGGCAGCAATGGTGGTGGTGAAGTGGCATAGGCGGTCATGGTGGAGAAGCTAGTGGTAAGAAAGTGGCGGCAGCAATGGCGGTGATGGTTGGGTACAACGTTGGTGGGGACGAGTACAATTTTAGGGTATCATAAGATCATACATAGCCTGATAATGACCATACATTTGTAGGGTCGGATTTGGCAGAATAGCCAATTACAACCCAAACGCGAATATCAAGAAACAAAACATGAATCGTCTCACGAGCCGGTATATACTGAGATGGAGACATGCACTAAAGAACTTCAACTTCAATAACTCTTTTGATTCGATTGCAATTCAAATCTTCAACATAAACAACGCACTTTTTTCTTGATGGCATCAAATGGAAAGAACTATTCTTTTATCACCATTCACCACCGAGTACACGAGAAAATTGGTGCGGCGAGGGGGCGGGGGTAAACACATTACATGAAGCGATACACAAGGTATACAAAACTAAAACCACCATGATTTGCAGTTTATTTTGTCCTAGGATTGTACAGAAATATTACCAATTGCTGTCACATGAAATATACAAACAACATTTCCAATTACACAGACTCTTTCTGCCTATGGTGATTGGTGACAGATTACAAATACTCCGATAAATCTGCTTGGTTCTCCATATCCCACACAACAACTTTTCCATCCAATCCTGTAATGTCAAGGTCTTAGAGCTTGAGGTTGTAGATTACGGCAGGAAATAGGAAATCTTACAACAAGTGATTGAAAATGAAATTTAACATTGACTTGCTAACCTGATGTGCTAAAGCGCGTTACTTTAGAACTCCCTGGTTCTCCAAGCGGCACAATACAACTAGAGTTGCCAGCAAAGTTTGTCATGAACTTAACTCCAACCATATATAAAACATATAAAAACAGGCCCAAATTTGCTCTCAGTTATGTGTTATTTAAATTGGAATTGGGGCTATTAGCCAAGGAATGACGAAAGAGAAGCAACAGTGACGTACTTAATGCAGTTCTCATGGACGCCTCCTCGTGATCTTGAATGTTCATTTGTATCATTGTTCAATCCATGTTTTTGTTGGCCGTATAGCTTTCCAAATGCTTCAGAAAACTGTAGGGGCAAAAAAAAATTAAGTAAGAAAACTCCATTCCAGCTGACATGAAGCAACTCTTTAACGCAAGATCCATTGCCATCCCATTCGGCACGTTTACCACCATAGAATGATAGCACTGGCAGGTTCATAAACACATACATATACAGCACGTAGAAAACCAGGTACTTACCTGTGAACCATATTTTGGACCTGAAGATGTTGTCTTTCTTTCCCCAAGAAATTTGATAAAATGCCTGCAGAGAAAAGAACAAAGCTATTATTTCGCATTCCCTTTTCAAAGGATAAAGCCATCAGGAAATGGAATTTACCATATTCCATGTAAATCTGCCGCAAAAACCATTGGATTGCAATCAAATCCCACACCTATAAGTAATCTTTCAGAAAGAAATAACACCTGAAAAGATAGTAATAAGTTAGTTGATTATATGTAGAGTAGATATTCAGAGTCTCAAAAAGTTAACAAGAGTGGATGCTGACCCACATCACGGAGAGGCAAATCACGGAATGCAACATTCTGAGCCAAAGGAGAAGGTCCAACATCATCAACGAAGTAAATCATAGAATTATGGCCTGCATAATGCCACAACCCGGAAACCAATTAGTGGAGAATGATACTGCCAACCTGGCAATTTGAAATACTGCCCATCAGCTATAAACATATGCTATGCCAAAAACTTCTTATCTTTGTAAAGAACATGCGGAAGGGAAATTTGTCTGACCTACATATGCTAAGGTACTGCCACTCGGTGACCACCTCACGCCAAATGACCAGGAAAATGAGAGATCAAGCTGAAGAATTTGCTGTTTCACCAGAAAGAAAACCAAGTAAGGTTTGCTTCCACCCGAAAGGGAAAAACAATATGAAAATAGTGTGAATGGATACCACTCGGTAACCTCTGCAAACCAGAGTCTGATTATGGGTACTTAAAAAATTTACCACAAGGTATGAATTAGAACACTATTACAATGTTTATAATGGGAAATGAAGCTGAAGGAAAGCGAAAAACAGAAATATATTTTTTTATAGGTCAGTGGCTACTTTTTTTATTCTATATTTAGAACATTACTTCGTTTCTACATTTACCATTATGAACAACTATATAAAAGGAAAAACAAATCAAGTATGGGAAGATATTTTTTTTATATATTTATATAGTCGAATATAAATGGACACATTCAAGAAACTCAATTTCTATATGGGAAGATATTGCACCTCTCCAAATTTTGAATCAGCAAATGGGCCTGTTCTTGATTCCCTGGGCAATTTTCATGAGCAATTATGATTATAATATAGGACAACTAACATAAGAATTAAATTAAATACAAATGACAGTTCTAAAATTACACGTAACATACTTTGCGTCGACGACCTTAATAAAAGTGGAAAATATACGGCATTTTCCATCTGTAGATGCTGTTGCAAGAAGAACCTGTAACAAATGAGCACAATGTGAACACTTAATCACGGTAAATGGATAATTACTCAGCATCAAAACCAACCGTTGACAATGAAACGGTTGCCAACAGTAAAGCAGAAAGCAGGTGTAAAGGCAAAGTTTACTCACATAAAGGAAAAGTGAGCAAGATAAATTGATTAAGCAGATAATCAAATTAAATACATCAATATGAGAAAACCATAATTAAAGTAGTTGAATTCTCAAAATACAGTTGAGTTTTTCAAACCTAACTCCTAGCTTAGGAGAAGACATTCAACTTCAGCAAATATCCAAGAATAAATAAACTAACATCCTCAAAACAACTCATTGACAATTATGAAACTGTGAACTCCCTCCTTTTTGGGTGGAGGAGGGCAACCCCAGGTGCACACAGATGCCCCAAACTCCAATGCACCGGGAAGTGGGAACCAGTATTTTAGAAAATAATAAATTTCATGGAGAACATGGTGGCCGGGTCAAACCCAAAGCATATGCATGAAATTGCTTTGAAAGCGAATAAAAATCAGATACAAAATGTGATACTGGAAAAATACGCACATTATTGGGATGCCAAGCAACACTTGTCACAGAAGAGTCATGCCTTTTTCTGATAAGTTTGCTGACCCACCTGGAAAACAAAAATGTAAATATCAACCATTAACCAGAAAAACAGCAATTTGTATTACAAGGTAAATCTACTCATTAAAATGTACTCAACAGATTGAGTCAAGCACTACAGTTTGAACAAAACCCAACAGAGAACTGCAAGTAACAGGCTAATTACCAGTTATTTTCTTGCTCATAGTAGCATATACAAACAGTTTTTGCCCCACTTCCAACAGCAAATTTATTTTCTGGTTCAGAGAAAGGCATACACATTAGATTTGCTTAACAATTTAAGTTTTAACACTGAAGGATATTCTACTTTTACATTAGCAATCAGGAAAAGAAGCACTTCATACCTCTTGGACTCCACTTAACACAAAGTGCAGCACGATTTAGCCGAAGGATAACAAGGGTTGGTACCCACTCCGACCCTTCTAGATTCCAGACATAGCTAGAGAGATTTGATAGTCCAGGAAACAGAATTAATCCGTCAATATGTGACACAAAACTAAAAAATATATCAAACCACAAAGGTACTCACGAATTCCGATCATGAGATGCAGTAACTATTTTGTTTGACCTAGCGCTCCAGTCTATCCCAGATACAATTTGGTCATGCTGGGACATGATGAAAAACAATAAAAAGTTTTATTATTTGCATGCATTCTCTTTGTTAGAAAGCTAAGCATGAATAAGCAATAATAAAATGAATCAACCACCAGTGCATCAACTGCATGACTGCAAAATTAATGAAGGGAAATATATCAATCAATGAAAAGTGGTAGTTAGTAGACCATAAATCCTTCCAACAAAGCTAAGAAAGCAAACATCAACAAAAAAGTTAAAAATACGAAAAAGGTCAGCAATTACCAAATAGGCACAATGCTTCCACTAAGGACCCAAATAACTTCCTCTATGCCAAGAACCATGTCCTTACAAACATAACCTTGGATGAACAAAACAGACCACACATCCGAATTGAAAGAACAATTTTAAAGAGAAATGGAAAGGGAATCCATGTATCAATTCCCACAAATGTATACCTTTTTTTCGTTTCCCCCAATGCTTTTCTACCTTTTAATTCCTTTGAATAACACTAGAAAACTCAGGGACCCAAAAGTTGCAAGTTCTACTTTCTCAGGAAGTTATCTTTCCTCAAATTCACATCATAGTTTCAGTGAAACATAATAGTACAATTTGATTTAGACTTTTAAGTTTGCAATCTCATGAGTCTGAACAAGTACCTTCTGAAGAACATGCAGCTTCTCCCACTTGCCTTGCAACAGTGCATAGATGTGAACTTCATTGTTGTTCGGACAAAATGCCAGCACTGCAAGAAAATCGGAATTATCAAATTACAACACTGCAAATACAGAAATACATTGATCACAGCTAAAACCTATGCTCACAACCATCATAGTCTGAAGCACCATCAATATTTCCCCTTTTTCACAGCCCAGAAACTAGACAATAATACCCATTGGGTCATTGATTACCAAAGTTCTTTAAAACATACCTTTTCAGAAGCAAGATATATGTACATGTACGTGTATATATACATATATAGCATAAGAAGAAAAGATAGAAGCTTCACAGCACAATAAGCAACCCCAATCCTCTGTTTGTCCAAGTGCAAATAGTAAAATGGAACCAAAATATTCAGCCCAAAATCTTCACATTAGCTCAAGAACTATATTGTTTCCAAGCTCTAAGCTTTCCAGTTTCCCAGCACGGACCCACAAACATAAAAGCATTAAAATACATAATTGCAGAAAGAAAAAAAAAAACAATTTGAAGAAACTAAATGCTTGTTTTCCTATTGTCTACCCCATATTTTCCGAGCAACCAAACAGAATAAGAAGGATAAGAAAGAGTGGGAAAAATTACTGGAGCGATCACGGCTCCAAGCATGGCAAGTAATGCATCTAGCGAACTTGTGAACTTCCACCGCCGCCATTTCTTTGATTCTACCTCAGTGGCAGAGAGAAAAAATCGAAGCTTTTTCTCCAAACTCCAAATCCGCAGCTGAAAATTCAATCTGGGTTCCAATCAATTTTTATCCAAGATTTGTGAATCGTACGGAAACAAAGAGGAATGTGATTGTTTGAGTGTGAACTTGGATAGAGATCTGAAAGCTTTGGAATCAGATCCAGGGCTTTATTCCTCTCTTCTTTCTCGCTCTTGTTGGAATTGGCGATGGGGATTACAGGCACGTGCTCGGCACGTGTTTGATAAACATAAATTGAGTTAAAACTCTCACGTAAATAGAAAAGCAATTTTCTCACCCTTGTTTTCGTTTATTGATTTTGCTTTAATTTATGGAATCCTAAGGTTAGAGAAAATAGTTTCAGAGAAGAAAATGAGAGTTTGAAAATTATTTAGAGACATATTTAGTATTTAGATTCAATATGTCATTCATTGTGTTTTTTCAGTTTATCACGTGATGATGAATTATTAAACTAAAATACTGGCATATTAAAGTCCCAAATATAAATAAGGTGTTTTTCGTAGTGTCACCAAAAAATTAATAAATGAATAAAAGAATGGACCATGATTGCTTTGCTTATAATGAAAGATGTGTGAATCAAGTGATGATGGAATTGATAAACTATAATATTTTCTTGGTGTAACATATTATGATGTTTACACAGCTAATAATTTAATTTGATATAAAGCAATTGATGTTTATTTGTATTTAAAATTTACGTTAACAATTTAAAAACATAACAGATATCACGTTAAAAAAAAAAAAACATCAATTTGTGTTGAATGCATGTAGCAAAATACTTCCATCAGCCATGTGTATGTGAACTGAATGGTAAGTACTTCAGAGTTAAATGTGAAATCACTAGTAAAAATAGATATGTGGCCTTATCTATTCTATATATATATATATATATATATATATATATATATATATATATATCTACTAATTAATTTTACTCATTCTTTATTAGGGTTGGGCATGGGCCGGGCCGGGCCCATATTTGGAGGAACTAAACCCTACCCGTTTTAAAATATAATGGGTCGGGACGGGCCGGGTAAAAAGTTTCAGAGTTTTAGAACCGAACCTAACCCGACTCGTTTCAAACGGGTCGGTTTAGGGCAAGTCCACGGTTCCTATTACATTTTTTTTCCGTCAACACAGAAGAGGACGACGTCGTTCAAGTCGTCTTCCTCAGTTGTTGAACCTGTTTCCTCCGCGACAACCCAGATGCAGCTCAAACCGTTAAAGCCGTCTTCCTTAGTCGTTTGGGAGAGAGGAAAAGATGACAAATCAGAACCATAAAAAAAAACCCAACCAACACAAAATCAAAACCATAAAAATAAAAAAAAACCTATAAAAGAAGATCAAGGAGAAAGGAAAAGATGAGTCAGGGAGAGGAAGAGTGGCCTGCTCCATAAGAAACCCATATGCGCAACGCCGACGGACTAGTCATCGGCCATGGAAGCCTATCCCAATCCTGGATCGTGGCGATGAGGTAGTTGATCGAGTTAAGAATGCGCGGAATCGGCCGAGTTGGACCATATTGGGTGGGGAACGGCCGAGATCTAACAGTCCAGGGACTTAAGCAAGAGCTCAAGGCCAGCGCAATCATGGTGGTCATGAGGCGGTGATGGTCTGGGTAACTGCTATCGAGAACTTGACTCAAGCTCAACTGCTCAATTGTGAATGAATGGAAAATGGGAGATTGATGAAAGTCTCTAAGATCAAGGGATAAAAATGTTGGCAAGTTGGATTTAATTAAATCATATAAAAATGCTCTGAGACCTTGTGAAGTTATATTGGTTCCAGAGACCTTCTTGAGGGCCTTCCAAATCTGGTCCAATTTGGTGGGCGACCTTGTAAGTCGAGGCCCATGGCGTGGCTTTAATCTAATCCATTATCCAATGCTACAAATGGGTCAGGCTAGGGGCCCTTTCCTCCTTATTTTTGGACCCGCCCTTCCCCGCTAATTTCTTAGACCCGCCCCCGCCCCACCCCGTTTTGTGTTTTCAATTTTTGGACCCGTCCCGTACCTGCCTCGACTCTCGGGTCCAGGACCTGTTTGCCCACCCATGTTCCCTATCACTTTCTTCCTCTCTCCTTCTATTTCAAAGACAAAAATAAAAAATTTTCTCATACACTTCGTGTGTGCCCGTATGCTAGTATATTATATATTATTAAAAGGGCTTGTCAACATTTTGCCCCTTTTTTCTAATTTTTCCCTCACTTTTGAATACACAAATTTGACACGAGGAGGGCAAAATAGTAAGTTTGTACCTTTTGACAAAATGACAATTATATCCCCATTTTTCCTATTTTGCCCTCACTTTTGATACACAATATTTACATAAGAATGACAAAATGGTAATGTCGAAGATCAAAATATTTACATAAGATAAAAATATGCACTTATTAAGAGAAATTGTCCCACCATCATTTTTTCATACAGGCAAGTGAAATCATGATGTTTTTTGGATAGTTTGAATGAACTGAAGCGATCGAACTTGAGGAGAATGTGGGCGGTTGTTCACACACACACAAAGTGTGTACTCTCTACTAGGATTATTTAAATGGAGTCAATGATCCAACTTTCAAGAGATTTGCTCCCTCTTTTGCTTCAATGCATGAACTAGAGGTATCAGTTTTCGAGCTGTTGGTTGACATGCACTGAGCACAACTTGGATATATTGCCTACAGTGATTTTCGATGGCCCTGAACATGGAATTGACGATTGAAAACCCAGGATCCGATAGCCAGTCTTGAACCTTCGAGCATGCTCACTACTTGGGTCATTGTAGGCCTAAGAATGGGCAATGCATTGGTGCACAAGAGAGCAACACTTAGCATTACCATTTTCTCTTCCGATGAGTATTCTGAATCCAAGATTGGATTAACCAACTAGAACACATTCACTTTCTCTTGCAGGCAGGCACATAGGCCTAAAGAGAAGCACGAAATTAAGACAGTAAGCGTCACTCACGGTGCCAATTAATAGCTTGGCTTTTCGCAAGACATTCATTCACATATCGCTCTTGTATATTGTTCAGTAACTATTCTTCGTTTATATTTATATAGGTTAAAATTTGATATGTTCGGACTAAAAATATGTCAAGATATATTCATTGTAACGACATTTCAATGATAGAATGAATATGATTTTGGCCCAAGCTAAAACACGCATGTAACTTTATTTTATATCTAATGTCGTGCACGAATCTAAGGTCTATGACTATGTGCCCGCTTTAAACCTACATTTAATCCTTTATACTGTTGTCAACTAATCCCTTTAATGTTCGATTTAACTCTATGTTAGAACATTTTTGTGAATGCTATTCTGATCTAAGTGGTCTTATTCTATGTCTTGTGCTCATCTAGATAGTTCATTCACCCAAATGATCAAGTCTAGGTCTTGTCTAACATACATGATTAAATGGATTCTCGTGACATTTCTTGTTCAATAATGCATTGTCATTGACTTTTATTGAAGTTTTTCTTTACCTGACAATGTAACATTAGACTGAGATGCCACGTGACGGTGTATCCGTTTTATATAAGAAATCCTAATCAATTAACCTGATCATTGCAACAATTACCAAAGATTTAAAAACATATTAGTGTTACAATTAACATCGAACCACTTTTATTATATATGAAAATGCAAAGTAATTAATCAATATTTATTTTAATTTCGAATGAGCTCAGTGTACAGCAGCTGGTTCCATGTGTCAGGAACTCCAGGGAGGCACCAATGGCTACAGTCCATGCCAAGGTGTGCTCCATTGCCATATATAGATGGGTGACCGTCTTTCCTTAGCTGTGATAGCCCTGTCACGTTAAGCAAAGCCACTGGCTTCGACATGTCACTAAGCACTTTTTCCACAATCACTTCTGCTAGGTGTTTGCTTCTTGGGTATGCTACTACTAGTGGCTTTCTTTCTGCTGTGCAGTTCCTCCCCTCTGGGTACTCCCAATGACTTGCACTAATGTTAATCACAAAATTAATACCATTCATTTTAATTAGGAACAAGTTGATTAACACAAGTACACAAGGTATCAAATTTTCATACAAGTATATTCGCCAAACGATGTATTTATATAAGTTAACATTTTACTTGTTAAAAATATTAATTAAGATTAAGAGCGAACCTAGATTTGAGAAAATGATAGGTTGTCACAATGTTTGATGTACAATGAATAATGTAACACTGGTGTGTGGAGCATTACTCTGTATATCAACCCGTCAATTATTTTTAATTTTGAAGGGGACTTTAATTTTAATATATCGTAAACAAAAGAGAATTGATATGCTTTTGATAGGAGGGAAGGTTTCCACCTTGTATAACTCAAAACTTAAACAGTTTTAAACTTACTTCCAATGACTCGGTGAAATACTCTGGAAGAAGACTTTGGTTTTCTTAGTATCAACATTTTTGTCCACCCAACGAGCCCAAGTTTTCAAAGCTTTCTCATAAGCAACAAGACGATTCATATCTCGATGTAAAGTCTTTCCATCTTGAATAAAATCCCACCTGCATGCCATGCAAACAAAGATTACACAACCATATGCTTTTATGCATACTCTAGCCCTAATATCCCTCGCTTATATACTGTAAATAAAGTGCTCTACCGCTAAAGTTATACGTCATCGATTCAAAAATATAACGCAAGATATCATGAATGCATGAATTTAAACCACCAAAACTGTGATTGTATCTTACGGTTGTTTCCTTCTAGCGTGGAGCCACCAATGCCAAGTGTTGAAGATCAAAACATCATATTCTTTCCATAATTTCCCATCCTTAGGGTCGATAGAGTCGAGTTTCAAAACCCTACCATATCTATGTTGATCAATGCGAACCAGAAATGCGTTGCGTGCTAGCATCAAAGAAACATTGTGATTCTGCAAAATCATATATAATTAATCAATTATTTAATTTAGCTACGAATTACTCCAAATTAAATGACTAAATTAAAGATTATTACCTTCGATGTGAACGTAGAGCTTCCGCCTATCCTCTTGATGGTATAACCGGACTGAGGTCAAGTTGCATGAATCATGCACGTGAGCGATCGCCATTGGTTCAAACTTAACGAGTCTCCAACGAACATGATGCGTTTATCTCTAAATCTCTCCAAGAAATCTTCACCATCAAACCTAATCCAATTCAAAACTAATTTAATCATATGCATTTAGATATAGTTGATGAAAAGAAATCAAATGTAACGAGCACTTAACCCTACACCGAGAATCATAATTCGAAACTTTCTTTCTCCTTTATCTTACGTACGTTGGTAAATTACATGAATAGGGTTGCCATCGATATTTGAGATAGAGTTCGTCGGCTCGACCATTTTTCTGGCAATCGAAAGCATGATCTAAGAAGGGGCAAAGACTAGAATCGTAAAGAGGGTAAGAATTAGGGTCATAAACCCATCCTCCTTGGTAAATATCACACTTCTTCAACCAGTAAATGATTTGCTTCCCGCATACAATTTGGTTTTCTAAAATTGTTGGTAGTACTAGAAGTGCAATGGCAATGCCAAATGCACCCATATGGAATTCAAGAATTGCTTTAAAAAAAAATTAAATAAATTTTAGAATTAATGGAGGATTGGGAGAACCAGAAGACCGATTGAATTATTTGGATTTTTTTTAGGCAGTGTGATGTGGATTTAAATAGATAAATAAGAAATAATGGTAAAGAAAAAGATTGGTGGGTTTATTAATTTAAAGATGTAGTTGATGGGAGAGTTTCTGTGTTTTAAATTATGGAAAATAATTGAAAATTAAATAATTTAATTTTAATTTGAGTTTTCTTAATGAATGATTGGACTCGAAATCAATGGAGGTTTTGGGACCAAAACGTGTAGAGAGTGGTGGGGGGAGTTATAAAACTGTCACTGCCTTCCACAATTTTCTTAAGAGATATATTTAAGCTTAATTAATGAGGGTTAATAAATTGATGAAGCCATAACAAAGAGCGTCAAGTCATGGATTCATGGCTAATGTGATAGCTGGCTCGACGTGGTTTGCATGTTGTGCATTAGTATCTGTGTTATCCTTTCTCTGGCTGAATTTTGATTTTGGGAAAAGATTTGAAGAGAGGTGTCTGACCGCGTCATTTGTAAGAAACTTTTCACGAAAATATATGGCTACATATTTTAGTATTGACCCGATCTCGCACTGATTCTATTTAGAGTAAGAGTTGCTCTAGTCGGTCAATCAGATCATACCAGAAATTTGAGATTAGATATTCAAAGTTCTTTATGTGTGTGACCTACTCAAATTTCTTTCAGAAATTTTTTTCTTTATGGCACATTTTCTAAAAGATCCCAGTCCTGGATCGTGGTGATGAGGTAGTTGATTGAGTTAAGAATGCGCGAAATCGGCCGACTCGGACCATATTAGGTGGTCAACAGCCAAGATCTGATGGTCCAGGGACTTCAGCAAGAGCTCGAGGGCAACGCATTCGTGGTGGTCATGAGGCGGTAATGGTTTGGATAATTGATGTCGAGAACTCGACTCAAGCTCAGCTGCTCGTAGGAGATTGATGGAAGTCTCTGAGATGAAGGGATAAAAATGTTGGAGAATTGGATTTAATTAAATCATATAAAAATGCTCTGAGACCTTGTAAAGTTATATTGGTTCCCGAGACCTACTTGAGGGCCTCCCAAATCTTGTCCAATTAGGTGGGTGACCTTGTAAGTCGAGGTCCACGGCATGGCTTTAATCCAATCCATTATCCCATGCTACAAGCGGGCTGGGCCAGGGGCTCGTTCCTCCTTATTTTTGGACCCATCCCGCCCCGCTAATTTCGTAGACAAGCCCTGCCCCACCCCGTTTTGTGTTTTGAATTTTTGGACCCGCCCCGACCCATAGGTCCAAGACTTGTTTGCCCACCCCTATTCTCTATCACTCTCTTCCTCTCTCCTTCTATTTCAAAGACAAAAATAAAAAAATTTCTCATACACTTTGTGTGTGCCCATATGCTAGTATATTATATATTATTAAGAGGGCTTGTCAACTTTTTGCCCCCTTTTTTTCCTAAATTTGCCCTCACTTTTGAATACACAATGTTGACACGAGGGGAGAAAAATAGTAATTTTGTACCTTTTGACAAAATGACAATTATATCCCCATTTTTCCTATTTTGCCCTCACTTTTGATACACAATATTACATAAGAAAGGCAAAATGGTAATTTTGTATCAAAATATTTACATAACGTAAAAAAATGCACTTATTAAGAGAAATTGTCCCACCATCATTTTTCATACATGTAAGTGAAATCATGACGTTTTTTTTGGATAGTTTGAATGAACTGAAGCGGTTGAGCTTGGGGTGAATATGGGAGGAAGTGGGCGGTTGTTCACACACACAAAGTGTGTGCTCTCTGCTAGGATTATTTAAATGAAGTCAATGATCCAACTCTCAAGACATTTGCTATCTCTCTCCTGCTTCAATGCGTGAACTAAAGGTATCAATTTTCAAGCCGTTGGTTGACATGCTCTGAGCCTAACTTGGATATATTGCCTGAAGTGATTTCCAATGGCCCTAAACTTGGAATTGACGGCTGAAACCCGGGATTTGAAAGCCGGTCTTGAACCTTCGAGCATGCTCACTACTTTGGTCATTGTAGGCCTAAGAGTGGAAGATGCATTGGTGCACAAAAGAGCAACGTTTAGCATCACCATTGTCTCTTCCGAAGAGTATTCTGAACCCAAGACTGGATTAACCAATTACAATACACTCCCTCTCTCTTGCAGCACATAGGCCTAAAGAGAAGCACGAAATTGAGACAGTAAGCGTTACTCACGATGCCAATTAATAGCTTGGCTTTTCACAAGACATTCATTCACATATCGCTCTTGTATATTGTTTGGTAACTATTCTTCGTTTATATTTACATAGGTTAAAGTTTGATATGTTTGGACTAAAAATATGTCAAGATATATTCGTTGTAACGCCATTTCAATGATAGAATGAATATGATTTTGGCCCAAGCTAAAACACGCATGTAACTTTATTTTATAGCTAATGTCGTGCACGAATCTAAGGTCTATGACTATGTGCCCGCTTTAAACCTACGTTTAATCCTTTTTACTGTTGTCAACTAATCTCTTTAATGTTCGATTTAACTCTATGTTAGAACATTTTTGTGAATGCTATTCTGATCTAAGTGGTCTTATTCTATGTCTTGTGCTCATCTAGATAGTTCATTCACCCAAATGATCAAGTCTAGGTCTTGTCTAACTTACATGATTAAACGGATTCTCGTGACATTTCTTGTTCAATAATGCATTGTCATTGACTTTTATTGAAGTTTTTCTTCACCTGACAATGTAACATCAGACTGAGACGTCATGTGACGGTGGATACATTTTATATAAGAAATCCTAATCAATTAACTTGATCATTGCAACAATTACCAAGGATTTAAAAACACATTAATATTACAATTAGCATCAAACCACTTTTATTATATATGAAAATACAAAGTAATTAATCAATATTTATTTTAATTTCGAATGAGCTCAGTGTACAACAGCTGGTTCCATGTGTCAGGAACTCCAGGGAGGCACCAATGGGTGCAGTCCATGCCAAGGTGTGCTCCATTGCCATATATAGATGGGTGACCGTCTTTCCTCAGCTGTGATAGCCCTGTCACGTTAAGCAAAACCACTGGCTTCGACATGTCACTAAGCACTTTTTCCAAAATCACTTCTGCTGGGTGTTTGCTTCTTGGGTATGCTACTACTAGTGGCTTTCTTTCTGCTGTGCAGTTCCTCCCCTCTGGGTATCCCCACTGACTTGCACTAATGTTAATCACAAAATTAATACCATTCATTTTAATTAGGAACAAATTGATTAACACAAGTACACAAGGTATCAAATTTTCATACAAGTATATTCGCCAAACGATGTATTTATATAAGTTAACATTTTACTTGTTAAAAATATTAATTAAGATTAAGAGCGAACCTAGATTTGAGAAAATGATAGGTTGTCACAATGTTTGATGTACAATGAATAATGTAACACTGGTGTGTGGAGCATTACTCTGTATATCAACCCGTCAATTATTTTTAATTTTGAAGGGGACTTTAATTTTAATATATCGTAAACAAAAGAGACTTGATATGCTTTTGATAGGAGGGAAGGTTTCCACCTTGTATAACTCAAAACATAAACAGTTTTAAACTTACTTCCAATGACTCGGTGAAATACTCTGGAAGAAGACTTTGGTTTCCTTAGTATCAACATTTTTGTCCACCCAACGAGCCCAAGTTTTCAAAGCTTTCTCATAAGCAACAAGACGATTCATATCTCGATGTAAAGTCTTTCCATCTTGAATAAAATCCCACCTGCATGCCATGCAAACAAAGATTACACAACCATATGCTTTTATGCATACTCTAGCCCTAATATTCCTCGCTTATATACTGTAAATAAAGTGCTCTACCGCTAAAGTTGTACGTCATCGATTCAAAAATATAACGCAAGATATCATGAATGCATGAATTTAAACCACCAAAACTGTGATTGTATCTTACGGTTGTTTCCTGCTAGCGTGGAGCCACCAATGCCAAGTGTCGAAGATCAAAACATCATATTCTTTCCATAATTTCCCATCCGCAGGGTCGATAGAGTCGAGTTTCAAAACCCTACCATATCTCTGTTGATCAATGCGAACCAGAAATGCGTTGCGTGATAGCATCAAAGAAACATTGTGACTCTGCAAAATCATATGTAATTAAGCAATTATTTAATTTAGCTACGAATTACTCCAAATTAAATGACTAAATTAAAGATTATTACCTTCGATGTGAACGTAGAGCTTCCGCCTATCCTCTTGATGGTATAACCGGACTGAGGTGAAGTTGCATGAATCATGCACGTGAGCGATCGCCATTGGTTCAGACTTAACGAGTCTCCAACGAACAGGATGCGTTTATCTCTAAATCTCTCCAAGAAATCTTCACCATCAAACCTAATCCAATTCAAAACTAATTTAATCATATGCATATAGATATAGTTGATGAAAAGAAATCAAATGTAACGAGCACTTAACCCTACACTGAGAATCATAATTCGAAACTTTCTTTCTCCTTTATCTTACGTACGTTGGTAAATTACATGAATAGGGTTGCCATCGATATTTGAGATAGAGTTCGTCGGCTCGACCATTTTTCTGGCAATCGAAAGCATGATCTAAGAAGGGGCAAAGACTAGAATCGTAAAGAGGGTAAGAATTAGGGTCATAAACCCATCCTCCTTGGTAAATATCACACTTCTTCAACCTGTAAATGATTTGCTTCCCGCATACAATTTGGTTTTCTAAAATTATTGGTAGCACTAGAAGTGCAATGGCAATGCCAAATGTACCCATATGGAATTCAAGAATTGCTTTAAAAAAATTAAATAAATTGAAGAATTAATGGAGGATTGGGAGAACCAGAAGACCGATTGAATTATTTGGATTTTTTTAGGCAGTGTGATATGGATTTAAATAGATAAATAAGAAATAATGGTAAAGAAAAAGATTGGTGGGTTTAGTAATTTAAAGATGTAGTTGATGGGAGAGTTTCTGTGTTTTAAATTATGGAAAATAATTGAAAATTAAATAATTTAATTTAATTTGAGTTTTCTTAATGACTGATTGGACTCGAAATCAATGGAGGTTTTGGGACCAAAATTTTGAAACGTGTAGAGAGTGGTGGGGGGAGTTATAAAACTGTCACTGCCTTCCACAATTTTCTTAAGAGATATACTTAAGCTTAACTAATGGAGGGTTAATAAATTGATGAAGCCATAACAAAGAGCGTCAAGTCATGGATTCATGGCTAATGTGATAGCTGGCTCGACGTGGTTTGCATGTTGTGCATTAGTATCTGTGTTATCCTTTCTCTGGCTGAATTTTGATTTTGGGAAAAGGTTTGAAGAGAGGTGTCTGACCGCGTCATTTGTAAGAAACTTTTCACGAAAATATATGGCTACATATTTTAGTATTGACCCGATCTCGCACTGATTCTATTTAAAGTAAGAGTTGCTCTAGTCGGTCAATCAGATCATACCAGAAATTTAAAATTAGATATTCAAAGTTCTTTATGTGTGTGACCTACTCAAATTTCTTTCAGAAATTTTTTTCTTTATGGCACTTTTTTTAAAAGATCCCAGTCCTGGATCGTGGTGATGAGGTTGTTGATCGAGTTAAGAATGCGTGAAATCGGCCGAGCCGAACCATATTAGGTGGTCAACGGCCAAGATCTGATGGTCCCGGGACTTCAGTAAGAGCTCGAGGGCAACGCAGTCGTGGTGTTCATGAGGCGGTGATGGTTTGGATAATTGATGTCGAGAACTCGACTCAAGCTCAACTGCTCAAGTGTGAATGAATGAAAAATAGGAGATTGATGAAAGTCTCTGAGATGAAGGAATAAAAATGTTGGAGAATTGGATTTAATTAAATCATATAAAAATGCTCTGAGACCTTGTAAAGTTATATTGGTTCCAGAGACCTACTTGAGGGCCTCCCAAATATTGTCCAATTTGGTGGGTGACCTTGTAAGTCGAGGTCCACGGCATGGCTTTAATCCAATCCATTATCCCATGCTACAAGCGGGCCGGGCCAAGGTCCCGTTCCTCCTTATTTTTGGACCCGTCCTGCCCCGCTAATTTCATAGACCCACCCTGCCCCACCCCGTTTTGTGTTTCGAATTTTTGGACCCGCCCCCACCCATAGGTCCAAGACCTGTTTGCCCACCCCTATTCTCTATCACTCTCTTCCTCTCTCCTTCTATTTCAAAGACAAAAATAAAAAAATTTCTCATACACTTTGTGTGTGCTCATATGCTAGTATATTATATATTATTAAGATAGCTTGTCAACTTTTTGCCCCCCTTTTTTTTTTTTCTAATTTTGCCCTCACTTTTGAATACACAATGTTGACACGAGGAGAGAAAAATAGTAATTTTGTACCTTTTGACAAAATGACAATCATATCCCCATTTTTCTTATTTTGCCCTCACTTTTGATACACAATATTACATAAGAAGGGCAAAATGGTAATTTTGTATCAAAATATTTACATAAGATAAAAATATGCACTTATTAAGAGAAATTGTCCCACCATCATTTTTTCATACAGGTAAGTGAAATCATGATGTTTTTTTGGATAGTTTAAATGAACTGAAGCGGTTGAGCTTGGGGTGAATATGGGAGGAAGTGGGCGGTTGTTCACACACACAAAGTGTGTGCTCTCTGCTAGGATTATTTAAATGAAGTCAATGATCCAACTCTCAAGACATTTGCTCTCTCTCTTCTGCTTCAATGCGTGAGCTAGAGGTATCAGTTTTCAAGCCGTTGGTTGACATGCTCTGAGCCCAACTTGGATATATTGCCTGAAGTGATTTCCAATGGCCCTAAACTTGAAATTGACGGCTGAAACCCGTGATCTAAAAGTCGATCTTGAACCTTTGAGCATGCTCACTACTTTGGTCATTGTAGGCCTAAGAGTGGAAGATGCATTGGTGCACAAAAGAGCAACGTTTAGCATCACCATTGTCTCTTCCGATGAGTATTCTGAACCCAAGACTGGATTAACCAACTACAATACACTCCCTCTCTCTTGCAGCACATAGGCCTGAAGAGAAGCACGAAATTAAGACAGTAAGCGTTACTCACGATGCCAATTAATAGCTTGGCTTTTCACAAGACATTCATTCACATATCGCTCTTGTATATTGTTTGGTAACTATTCTTCGTTTATATTTATATAGGTTAAAGTTTGATATGTTTGGACTAAAAATATGTCAAGATATATTCGTTGTAACGCCATTTCAATGATAGAATGAATATGATTTTGGCCCAAGCTAAAACACCCATGTAACTTTATTTTATAGCTAATGTCGTGCACGAATCTAAGGTCTATGACTATGTGCCTGCTTTAAACCTACGTTTAATCCTTTTTACTGTTGTCAACTAATCTCTTTAATGTTCGATTTAACTCTATGTTAGAACATTTTTGTGAATGCTATTCTGATCTAAGTGGTCTTATTCTATGTCCTATGCTTATCTAGATAGTTCATTCACCCAAATGATCAAGTCTAGGTCTTGTTTAACTTACATGATTAAACGGATTCTCGTGACATTTCTTGTTCAATAATGCATTGTCATTGACTTTTATTGAAGTTTTTCTTCACCTGACAATGTAACATTAGACTGAGACGCCACGTGACGGTGGATCCGTTTTATATAAGAAATCCTAATCAACTAACTTGATCATTGCAACAATTACCAAAGATTTAAAAACATATTAGGGTTACAATTAGCATAAAACCCTTTTTATTATATATGAAAATACAAAGTAATTAATCAATATTTATTTTAATTTCGAATGAGTTCAGTGTACAGCAGCTGGTTCCATGTGTCAGGAACTCCAGGGAGGCACCAATGGCTGCAGTCCATGCCAAGGTGTGCTCCATTGCCATATATAGATGGGTGACCGTCTTTCCTCAGCTGTGATAGCCCTGTCACGTTAAGCAAAACCACTGGTTTCGACATGTCACTAAGCACTTTTTCCACAATCACTTCTGCTGGGTGTTTGCTTCTTGCGTATGCTACTACTAGTGGCTTTCTTTCTGCTGTGCAGTTCCTCCCCTCTGGGTACCCCCCATGACTTGCGCTAATGTCAATCACAAAATTAATACCATTCATTTTAATTAGGAACAAGTCGATTAACACAAGTACACAAGGTATCAAATTTTCATACCAGTATATTCGCCAAACGATGTATTTATATATGTTAACATTTTACTTGTAAACTTGTATAACTCAAAACCTAACAGTTTTAAACTTACTTCCAATGACTCGGTGAAATACCCTGGAAGAAGACTTTGGTTTTCTTAGTATCAACATTTTTGTCCACCCAACGAGCCCAAGTTTTCAAGGCTTTCTCATAAGCAACAAGATGATTCATATCTCGATGTAAAGTCTTTCCATCTTGAATAAAATCCCACCTGCATGCCATGCAAACAAAGAATACACAACCATATGCTTTTATGCATACTCTAGCCCTGATATTCCTCGCTTATATACTGTAAATAAAGTGCTCTACCGCTAAAGTTATACGTCATCGATTCAAAAATATAACGCAAGATATCATGAATGCATGAATTTAAACCACCAAAGTGTGATTGTATCTTACGGTTGTTTCCTTCTAGCGTGGAGCCACCAATGCCAAGTGTTGAAGATCAAAACATCATATTCTTTCCATGATTTCCCATCCTTAAGGTCGATAGAGTGGAGTTTCAAAACCCTACCATATCTCTGTTGATCAATGCGCCCAGAAATGCGTTGCGTGCTAGCATCAAAGAAACATTGTGATTGTGCAAAATCATATATAATTAATCAATTATTCAATTTAGCTACTAATTACTCCAAATTAAATGACTAAATTAAAGGTTATTACCTTCGATGTGAACGTAGAGCTTCCGCCTATCCTCTTGATGGTATAATCGGACTGAGGTGAAGTTGCATGAATCATGCACGTGAGCGATTGCCATTGGTTCAAACTTAACGAGTCTCCAACGAACATGATGCGTTTATCTCTAAATCTCTCCAAGAAATCTTCACCATCAAACCTAATCCAATTCAAAACTAATTTAATCATATGCATATAGATATAGTTGATGAAAAAAAAATCAAATGTAACGAGCACTTAACCCTACACCGAGAATCATAATTCGAAACTTTCTTTCTCCTTTATCTTACGTACATTGGTAAATTACATGAATAGGGTTGCCATCGATATTTGAGATAGAGTTCATCGGCTCGGCCATTTTTCTGGCAATCGAAGGCATGATCTAAGAAGTGGCAAAGACTTGAATCGTAAAGAGGGTAAGAATTAGGGTAATAAACCCATCTTCCTTGGTAAATATCACACTTCTTAAACCTGTAAATGATTTGCTTCCCGCATACAATTTGGTTTTCTAAAATTATTAGTAACACTAGAAGTGCAATGGCAATGCCAAATGCACCCATATGGAATTCAAGAATTGCTTTAAAAAAAATTAAATAAATTGAAGAATTAATGGAGGATTGGGAGAGCCAGAAGACCGATTGAATTTTTTGGATTTTTTTAAGGCAGTGTGATGTGGATTTAAATAGATAAATAAGAAATAATGGTAAAGAAAAAGATTGGTGGGTTTATTAATTTAAAGATGTAGTTGATGGGAGAGTTTCTGTGTTTTAAATTATGGAAAATAATTGAAAATTAAATAATTTAATTTTAATTTGAGTTTTCTTAATGAATGATTGGACTCGAAATCAATGGAGGTTTTGGGACCAAAATTTTGAAACGTGTAGAGAGTGGTGGGGGGAGTTATAAAACTGTCACTGCCTTCCACAATTTTCTTAAGAGATATATTTAAGCTTAATTAATGGAGGGTTAATAAATTGATGAAGCCATAACAAAGAGCGTCAAGTCATGGATTCATGGCTAATGTGATAGCTGGCTTGACGTGGCTTGCATGTTATGCATTAGTATGTGTTATCCTTTTTTCTGGCTCAATTTTGATTTTGGGAAAAGATTTGGAGAGAGGTGTCCGACCGCGTCATTTGTAAGAAATTTTTCACGAAAATATGTGGCTACATATTTTAGTATTGATCCGATCTCGCATTGATTCTATCTAAAGTAAGAGTTGCTCTAGTCAGTCAATTGGATCATACCAGAAATTTGAGATTAGATATTCAAAGTTCTTTGTGTGTGTGACCTACTCAATTTTCTTTCAGAAATTCTTTTCTTTGTGGCGCATTTTTTAAAAGATCAAGTTTTTTTTAACCAAAAAAAAGAAAAAGAAAAGTTGTCATCAAGAAGGAAATTTGAACTTAGGTGAGAGAAAAATAAACTGCTTTAATTAACTTAATTACGCCCATAGTTTAGTTTTCAAACTCTCAACTCTATTAATTATACTCATGAGTTTAAAGTTTTCTTTATAAGGGATGATTCGACTCTTGCTAATGAGCAGCACGCTAGTCTTCTTGCATCTAAATTCAAATTATTTTTTTCATAAATTTGAGTAATTTAAAATATTTATTTGTCAATAACGAAATATCTTTGAAAGAAGATAAATTTGACAGAAACTAATTCGGAGAGGACACAAAAGAGAAAATTAAACAGAGATGGATGGAAAACCTAACATCAAGGAAACTTTTGACAAAGTCAAACGAGTCATTTTGTCCAAAGATAAAGTGCAAAGCAAATGTTACAGCTGAATCCTCATGCTTCTGAAAAGAATCAAACTGCTCTTTTATACAAAGCTGAACAAGTTTCCATACTTTTGATGCTCTGGGAGATCATATGGATTTTCCATTGCACGATCAACAACAACAAAGCCTTATCCCGTTAAGTAGTTTGAGGATTCGTGGAACAGTAGCTTCCTGTATATCTCGTAGCTCCTTTTCGCACATACAATCGCAGACACTACGTAGATCGTTACATGCTAGGCCACCACTCCAACGGTTAGTTTAATTACCATCTGCAACGAATCAACAGATAATTGAGAACAGATACGTTAATCGAATATCCAGTCAATAATGTAATTGATGTGTTATTGAATCGAAACTAGGAAAAGCAGATACGGTTATAGAAAAAGCGCTCAGCATGTCTTTTTAACAGTGTACTTTCACATATACCGGCTGATATCGCTTGTGTGCGCTACGTATTCAGTAAAGTAAAAAATACGATAAAAAAGGCAAGGCTTGATATGACCACAATCGAAACTCGATGGGTCATGTGCAGGTTGTGTTAATTTCGACCAAATGTGGCTTCAATTGTGTGCCAGAAATTAGGAGCATGGCACAAATTAAACCAAAGAAGATCCGTATGTTTGTTTAGGCCAGTGTATGCCCCTTCATATGAAGATGACTTGCCACGCGTAAGAACACTCGAAAAAAATGTAATAACTAAATAAGTTTCTTGTGACTCACCATCTGAAGGATCGACGTGTACAAAAAAACTGGCGGCAACTATGAGATAGCACAGAATAAGCATCAAGCCTTTAAAGTAGTTTGACGTCCCTTCCTACAAAGATAAAGGCAATGAATCTCATATCGAGCAAAGTTGAAAGTAAAACAGGAAAAGGCAACTAAGAAACACGGTCATATTGTACAATTGAAAAGAAACAAAATAAAAGGAATGAAAGTAAGAAAGCACAATTCATCTTGAATTATGTAATAGGAAGACTCGACGGGGACCAAATAAGTTAATAGTTAAGATTAGAGATACTCTTAATGGTTCGAAGTAAGACAAACGAGGGAAAGATCACAAACCTGCAACATAAATGCCACGACTAACACTGTAATAAAAAGTGTGGCAGTCTCAAACAGTTGAAAATTCAAGTCCATTGGCTGTCCCATGATCCACCCAACAACTACGCAGAAGGGTATCTACAATTGTCAAGAACACAAAAATTATTAGCCTATTTTCCATTCTGAAATGTAATCAACTCAAGAGAAACTATAACAAGCAAGTCCAACAGAGGTTTGCAATGGTTCATAGACATTGTATCACATGCCAAAGTTCTGCAGCGAGTACTCATTAGCTAGCTGTTCAAGTCCTTACCACAAACATGGATATTTGTGTAGATGATCCAATTGCAACTCCAAGTGTGATATCCTAAAGAAAAGTTAATTCCGTCAATAACATAAAACGGAGTCTGTAAATTGACATTCAGAAATCTTCAATTCAAAGGCACTCACAAGCTTGTCCTTCATGGCAAACATGATAGCACTTGCATGCTCTGCAGCATTTCCTACAATTGGTAGTAGTATAACACTGATAAATGCCACAGGCATGTTGAATGAGTCAGACGCTCCCTGGAGAAACAGTAAACACATTAACTTATCAAATAGTTACACAAAACCGAGACCAATTACCAGTAAAACAAGAATGAAAAATGTGCTTCACAATCAGACACAGAAAACAGAAGTGCAAAAGATCAGCACAATATCAGCTCAGAAACTATGCACCCGGAGCACAGTGGGCTAGTATATGAAGCAAGTGTTACCTGGATAGCATCCACAAGGTATCCAGACAAAACGGACACCCAGACAGTTAAAACAGCCAGCCAGCCAATTGCTTCCCAATGAGTTATCTCAGGAGCCTCTTCCTCATCAGATTCATCTTCACCCCCGACTCCTTCCTGAAACAATTTCCAAAGAGAAATTAAACAACTAAATGGAGTAGGGTCAGATAATGTTCCCAAGAGCCATTCCATGTATTAGCTTTATATTTTCAATAGAAAGCTGAAGGAACTAGTAAACACTCTTCTTATGGAAAAAAAAAATCATACCAAAATTAACAAGATAATTCCCTTAAATATGAATTGTTTTAACATAAAAAAACTGAAGCTCATTCAAGATTTAAAAAATGCAAAGAATTCATCATTTTTGATAAACTTAAACTTCAGCAGCTAACACAGAAATGGACAATGTTCAAAATAGAAAAACAATGACATTCTAGATCTTTTGAAAAATTAAGCAAAATTGACTGACCTCCTCAATGGGATTATAAAGATTACGATGACTTCTAAGTTGAAAGAAAAGGTAGCTCGCATATGCCACTAGCATTACACAGCTGCTAAATCTTGAAAGAGATAACTCTGACTTCCCAAAGTGGATCTCTGAGCGCGTAAAATGAAGCACAGCCGGAAACATTAACCCCATGACAGCCATCAACAGCAATCCTGAATTCACGAGGGCTGCAGACTGTTGCAAAAGTAACCACATTTGGATGTAAATGTCATGACTGACACCAAGATGAACGAATGTCAAGGAGACCACAAAGCAGAAAATTTCAGGGTTCAAAAACAAGATTTGAAGATGTATGATTCTACCTTGTTGAAAACCTGAATTTTTTGGTAATGAATGATTCCACCAGTGAAGAAGGCACATCCGAGCACTAAGAGCATGTTGGACAAGATTGATCCTAACAAAGATTGCTGAACAACCCTTATCATTCCGTTCTTTAATGCATATATTGATATAATCATTTCCGTGGCATTTCCAAATGTGGCATTTAATAGACCCCCAACTGCAATCCAACAACAAGCTCACTTGAGACATAACCAAAAACAGATGCACAAAGGTACAAGATTTTTTGAATCAGTAAGTAGGTTACCAACATTCTTAATATGAAAACAAGAGGAAATACCTATCCATTTTCATAACCAACAAAAAAAAAAGTGCATCAAGTGAAACTAAAAAGAACGGGTAATCCGACACTGGGAATCTGTGATAAATTTTAAAGATTATCTGAATCACTATTTATAACAACTAAAACATCTTTCAGGATATCCAGTAAACACTCTAGTAAGCAAACATTGTAATTACCAAAACTTCTTTAGACTAATTGACATGATCAAAGTACCGTACAAAAACAGTTTACTTTGTACAAGCCATTCAACTGGACACATGACCATAGAGGCTAACTAGTAAACAGGTACGAAGGTAAGAGAAGCAACTGATGCTGTTAGGGGATTTAAATCCCATAATGTTAAGTCGAGATCTAAACACCTTGAGAAATGCATGTTCAAGTTCCAATAACCAGCAAAAGATAGCTTGCATAGTTTACCAGGAACCAACCCTGTTAGTTCCTATACAGTCTAAGTCTAATCAATGAGATACACAATTATTCTAGGGAAGAAGTTAATCTATTGAGGATAACTAAAACAATCATAAATACTTATTGATCATGACCATCGATCAAACAATATTATGTCTATATGTATGGCCCCAGTTGACAGCCTAGCAACATTTTGTGTCAACAGAACAGTACTTTACTGCAGAAGCAGAGCCAGGAATCTAAACTACGATGGTGGTAACCTTAGAAAATTTGGTTCTTTCATCAAAAATATATATAAAGACAAAAATTCTTCGAAATCCGAAACCAGTTAGCAGTATGAATATCACTACAAATATTAATGAAAATGATACAAAAATTCAGGCTACCATCAGTTGGCAGGGTAAAAATTATACCTGTTGGTCCAGTGTAGAAAGCAAGTTGCCTGCACCACAACAATGGCAAACTCAAGAATTAGCCTTAGACAAAATTAAGACAACTTACTGCTATACAAAACTTGACAGGCTAGCACTTACTCAGTGGCATATCCTAGACGCTCTGCTAAAGGTATGATGCCCACTAAGCTGAAGAAGAATACCCATCCCTAACGTATACAAAGTAACTGTCAATGGATTAGGGGTGAAGTCAATTTAAATTATTGAAAGGATGTGCAAAAAAAAGCAACCATGTTGGAACAGCTTGCCACATAATATAAGGCTACATCACAAGGTTCTAATGTCAAGTTCCAACAGAAAATAAAGACATGGAAACCGCTAAATTTTGATTAGTTGCTGGTAGCTAAGACTATTTCTCTTCTGCACTTCCCTGCTTACTAAACTCTGCTACATTCTTCTCCTAACTAAAGGAAGGGATCACTAAAAATGAAATAAGGATATATACATACATGCTTTCCAGTAATATAATGTAGCAAAATCGCCAACGGACCAAAGGGTAGCAACATATTGATCTTTGCTTTAAATAAGACTATATAAATACTCCTTGGAACTCTTATCCACATATGTCTTGAAAACCATGAGTTTGCCAAATCTGCTCGTGACCGCAAATGAATCATCTCAAAGTCCAAGGCCTCTACTTTGCTGGTGGCTGCTGATGAGTTAAAAGGTATTTCTTCATCAGATTCAAGGTCTGTCTTCCCATTTATAGAAACCATCTGCAAGTACAAATTATCAACCAATTAAGTAGGGGGCAGAACACGGAATCACGATTACACCAAAGCAGGGCACTTTACTCACACACAAAAAAAGCTAAATTTACCCATTTTGTTAAGAAACATGGAGGACAACAACGCACACCAAGCAGTAAATGTATGGTGACCCCATTAGAGAACACTCCCAAAACCAAAAGGAAGAAACTTCATTGGTTTTCCCTAAAACTGCTGATTGTATTTTCATTTTTTTTCCACCTTTCATCTTTTCAGAGCTATGGCCTGCAATCTGAAAGAAAAATTAATGACTGCATTCAAACAGCCCAGTTTTTCCACCAAAGACTGCTTAAATGACTGCTTTCAAACAACCACTTCAATCACATACCAATTAAAGCTCAGTAAAACCAATTAGGCGGTGTTTGGAAGTTGAAACAAATGAAGAATCAGCACAGATGGCATGGAGTGCAAGACATCTACTTACAGATCAGCCACAACATCAAGTGGCACCAACCCACTTGAAAAGAAATCGTTTTTACAAACAAATACAGCAAAACAAACAGAACAGATCAATTAAAAACAACTAAAATTATAGATTCTGAGAGAAACAACTGTATTACCTCAAACCCAGAAGCCAAAATGGATTGATTTGATCAAATGGATCAACGTCTCCTCCCTCTTTGCCTCTTTCAGAGAGAGAGAGAGTTGGGTTTGTGTCGAAAGTGGAGCCCAGCACTTCGGGTCTGTGTTGAATGTTAGAAAAGAAAGAAGAGAGATTCAGTCAAGAGTGGAGGAGGAGATGGAGTTGAATGCCAGCACCCGGCAAATGATTTTAAGACAAACGGGAATTATTATTATTATACACTTAAAAGGAAAGTTCTGCGAAGTAGGGAGTCCTCATTGATTTAATTCAAGTTTGATTTCTTAATTGTTTATCCATTTTAAAATAATTTATTTCTTAATCTGACACATCCTAGAACCAAAATATTATGCGTAACATGTTGGTCCAACGTGGAATTGTGGATAACATATAAAGAATACTGGGTTAATAAATTTCGTGATTTTTAACATTTAGTATATGAAATTTTTTTCATCCAAAAGTCATATCTCAAGTCTTAATTTTGGAACAGTTCATACATCCGTTAAGTTTTCCATTAAAAATTCTATTAACTGATGATAACGTAACGTTCATGTAGACAATAACTGAACATCACGTGTCAATATGGGCCCAATTCAATATTAAAAAAATTTAAAAAAAAAATGCAAAAAAAAAGTGGGCCCATGTTGACATGTGACGCTCAATTATTGGCGACGTAGATGTCACGTCATCAGTTAACAGAATTTCTAACGAAAAACTTAACGGATGTATGAAACTGTCTCAAAATTAAGACTTGAGGTATGACTTTGCGATGAAAAAAACTTCATGTACCAAATATTGAAAACCACAAAATTTCGAAGTAATAAACAGAGATTAATCCAAAAATATTATATTTTCTTGTTTTTTCTCCCTTGAAAAATCTACTCTCAAATTTAAAAAAAAAAAAATGATTTTTACATTCTTTTTCATCAAGGAGTATGCTGAAATATAAAAGCATCTCGAATCACGATCTCTATTTTTTTCGTTAAGGCTAGAAAGCTATGAGCTCCACTAAATATTCCTACTCCAATCTCACTTTTTGATTCATTGAGTTATAATAAATATGATTTACTTTACAAATTATTAAAAAAAAGTAGTAATTAATGTAATGAGCTCCTTTGTCACTCCTTTGGTTTAGGAGCTCACAGCAGTTTGGGCTATTCTAACATGATAAGGAGTGTGATTCGAGATGAAAATTTTAAAATTTTTTAAAATTTTAATTAAGAAGTTTATTTCAGAAGCCTATTAAAAATGATTGTTTGACAATATAAGTCTAGCAACGTGATCTAGATTTATCCTTACATTTTAAGGTGGTGTTTTTTATGATGATCAAGTAGTGGCATTATTTGCCTTTTGTGATTGTATAAAAAGTGCAAATAATCTTTGTTCTTAAGTAAAACATATAAGTAAGGAACCTGCATTACAAGTGATTAAGATCATTTATTTATATTTTTGAAATGCAACGTTCGACTCCCTATGTCACATCCCAACCCTCAACTCCAGTGATATTGTCCGCTTTGGCATTCCCTGCCCGCAGACAGAGCTACCGCACGGTTTTGTTCCTGCGGACCGGTACTCAGCCGTAGCCAGCGCCTGCTCTCCCCTCAGGGAGTCCGCAAAAGGCCTCACTGAAACTTAAGGTTGGCAATGGATATATAAGGCCCAAAGACCAAGCCCTCACGGGCGATGTGGGATATTACAATCCACCCCCCCTTAGGGAGCCCGACGTCCTCGTCGGCACACCACGACCGTGAGTCTGGCTCTGATACCAAATTGTCACATCCCAACCCTCAACTCCAGTGATATTGTCCGCTTTGGCATTCCCTGCCCGCAGACAGAGCTACCGCACGGTTTTGTTCCTGCGGACCGGTACTCAGCCGTAGCCAGCGCCTGCTCTCCCCTCAGGGAGTCCGCAAAAGGCCTCACTGAAACTTAAGGTTGGCAATGGATATATAAGGCCCAAAGACCAAGCCCTCACGGGCGATGTGGGATATTACACCCTATGCCCTGCTATCGTTGTTTCACGGGAAAAAACATATAATGTCGCTCTATAAACTAAACAACTCATAGAATCCCTCGCATTACTCGATTTGTAGAAAGTTTTTGGGATTGGTACTGAGAATAGATCAAGCTTTTAAACTAATATTTTTTTTTTTCCCCATTTTCTTGGTTAATGGGTGACAATTTTGTGTAGTGTTTCTACATCTTTGATAGTGAGATTAGGCTTTTGTTTTTAAATGATCTTTTAGCTAAAGTGGTCTTTAAGATTGGCATTACTCCTCACTTTGATCCTTAAGATTTGAAATCGATAGAAGCAGTCATTGAGTTTGTTCAACATCAATTATTTTAGTCTTTCTGTACAAACTTTTGTTAAATAAAGACTAAAATGACAAAAATTGAGAGTTATTTTGTCGTTTTATCATTATTTAATAATGATTTTTTTATGGAATGATCAAAATGATTGATAGTGGACAAACCCAAAGTCTACGATTTCAAATCTCAGAAAATAAAGTGATAAGTTATGTTAATCTCAAGAACCATTTTGGTTAAAAAAATATTTTTAAATTAGAGCTATTTTTTGGAATTGACTATGTTGTTTTAGTGAAAAGTTATCATGTCACGGTTCCAATCCATCCTACTTTATTAGGCCCCTTCATAAGCTTTATCTCTTATAACATTTTCCACTGTGACGAAGTTTATACATGACAAAGAAAAATTATTATTTTTATTATTTTCATGATCATATTTTGTGTGCTATTATAAATTGTGTCATGTTTACTTACTTAAAAATAAAGAAAATCGTGAATAAAAAAAGGGTCTAATTGGATAGATGGTCTTCATGGTGATAAGATTATCGGAAGATAGCCTTCGTGGTAAAAAAAATTAGAATTTAAACCCTTATGGATCATTGCAATGGCAACTTTGCCTCTGGATCATTGCAAATTTGAACTAAAGGAGAAGCAATTCTTGGAGACGTTTGTGAAAAGTGCAACTGGATCTTCCTCCTTTACCATCGCTGACTCCCCCAACAAAATCAAAACCCAGCTAGACGAGGAAACGCAGAGAGACAAGGAAGAAGAACACGTTAAAAGTACATTTTTACCCCACATTTAACGGACAATTAACGGAAAAATCACTTGTAGACTAAATTTGCTAACGAACTACACCACAAATGTTTAAATCCTAATTTTTTTTTACCACAAGGACTATCTTCCGATAACCTTATCACCACCAGAACTATCTATCCGATTAGGCCTAAAAAAAGTCATGAATAAAAATGAGATCGACTACTCCTCTCTTAATCCTAATCAATCTAATTTTTTCAAATACCGACGGATTGTAACTTTGTAGCCCCATATTTTACAAAGACAAAAAGAAAGACAAAAGGAAAGACAAAAAGAAGCGGGTACTGCTCAATCGCTCAATCGCTCAATCACCTCTCCACGTTTTTTCATGTATAGAAAATACGTTTCGTCATAATCTTAAGATGGTACAAAACATAAAAGTAAATATTAAGAAAGCTTATTTACATCATACATTAGCGTTTTTTGAAACTTAACTTTGGTCCCACTTTGTTTTATGTAATTTAAAATGTGTTTCGAAGGATGCTAATGTATGGTGTAAATAAGACAGAATTTGTAATTTATGTATAAATATAAGTTACATAATTTATTTTATTGTGAATTCACAATTCATCATGTCCATTCCTGTTCTCACACATTTAACATAGCAAACAAAGGACTGGACTCAAGTTTATATTAATTGTTCACAACCTATTACATTCGTCAAGAGTTATGTTAACAGCCATGTCATTGCTAAATATACAAATCCAATTAAACATTATTTTATACTTTGCCAATGTTTAAAAATTTCAAATTTTGAATAAAAAAATAACCAAGCAAAAACTACTGTCACCATCATCGCCAGCTCTTCGCCAATACGAAAACCTCAGTCATCAATTTTGTTTAATTTGATATCAATTATAAAATCAAATTTGTAATATATGATTTTTACTACCTTCATAATCTACCGCCAATGGCTCAACTCCATAACAACCCGTAGCGACATCAATGTTTGTCAACGCATGTGAATTTCATCTCTATTAGATAGATGATACAAATAATGGTAAAAATAAGTAATAAGAGTAGCAAATTTTATTTCTTTGCAGAACCAAACCATTTTGATTGGTGGTGGAAGTGTCAATGTCGATTGGTTTTACGTTGCTTTTAGTGTTGCTTTGTTTTCAGTTTATGTCTTTCGTTTGTGATGCTTTTAGTCCACTTAAATTCTTTTTTATGTATTGTCCCGTATATGAAGAAGCTTGCTCGTCGTTTTGCTTTCGAAATAGCGCAGCACAAGACTAGTAGCCAAACAAACTATCAGAATGTGATCAAGCATCCATATGAAATTCCAAGCTCCTATCAAACCCATGGATCTGAGCCTTATTAGATCATGAGATCACATTATGATAGTTTGTTTGGGGGGAGGACATTAGAATTCGGTCATGTGATGTTAGTGAAAGAAATTTGAATTAGATCATGTGATGAGATGTCAATATGTAGTTTGTGCTAAAGTTTGTTGGGTTTGTCGTTCTGAAATTTAACAGTTGGTTTGGCTACGAGGATATTTTTTATTAGATCATGTGATGCCTATCTATAGTTTCCCGAAGCAGCCTAAAGATTCAAGCAAAGAGTATGTAGCTCAAGTGGTTAAGAGTATTTATCTTTGTACTCGATGTTTTAGGTTTGATTTCCTTTGTCTTAATATTGCTTGGATATGGTTACTTAATACTACGATCTAATGAAATTTCCCTTCGCTTGAAGTGAGAGGTCTTAGTTTTAATTTTCGCTAAAGGAAAATTCGAACCAAATTAACATGATTAGCCAATCGTGAGGTTTAGCCCACTCTTCTACCTTGTTTAGACCAAACGCAATGGTTTAGCTTTGTACCCTCAAAGCATCTCCAAGCATTAGGCTAAAACAAAGATTGGGGAGAAAATTTAGTTTAGGCTAGATTTCGGTCAAAAAAATGAGCCAAGGATAGGTGAGTGGCCTAGCACGTGACCCACGCACAACAGTTGGACGCGCGCCACGTTAATCGGCCACTTGTGACAAGCCCAACGACTCTTTTATTTGATCCTACGTCTGTAAAGATTGGGGTATTAGTTGATCCAATAGTCCAAATTCATTTTTTAAATCAAATTTATAGTTACATTAAATTGAAAGTCTAAGATTGAATATGAGCAAATCAAACGGTAAAAAAAAAGATCTAATAGTTCAAAATTAAATTCAATGGCTAAAACAATTAAAAAATTATTTAAAATTAAAATTCACCGAAAAACTCTATAAGTACCTATGTATTTCTTCAAACATCCGCACAAATATCAATTTCCTCGTGCAATTTTTCCATTTTTTCTTTCTACCCACTTCCAAAACTATTTCTTCATGCGTTTCATGTGTAGAAAGGATTTTCCATGTTGTTACATGACCTTCATATTCCATGTTTTTCCATGACTTTCATGGGGTAGTTTCAGTCATTTTTCGTTATTTTATGGAATTTAAATACTTTTACGTTAAGACGTTGATAAAAAATTAGGATTTTCCATGTTGTTACATGGCTTTCATATTCCATGTTTTCCCATGACTTTCATGGGGTAGTTTCAGTCATTTTTCATTATTTTATGAAATTTAAATACTTTTAGGTTAAGAAGTTCATAAAAAATTAGGATATTCTACATAAATTATATTTTAAAAAATAATTGTGCTAAAATCATTCATTAACAATCACGATATGTGTTCTTTTGCAGATAAAAAGGTTTAACCACCCCACCTCTTACAGCGGTGCGCAAATTTGGTTACACATCTCTTGTATTTGAAGTAATTCATTCACATGGGTTGTGTTTTCATTAAAAGCTTGAAGCTTTCTTTATGGATGGTAAGTGAACGGGAGAAGAGAGAGGCGACGATGACCAAGAGAAAGGTAAGGGGTTGAGGCATCTGAATGCGTTAAAATATAAATAATTCACAACTATTCGATTTTTTAGTGAACAACCAAGGCCAATTGATCTCTAGGATCCTCATAGAAAGGATCAAGAGAGGATCTTGGTACGTTGAAGTGGAGGTGGTACTAAAAGTGGGAGAGGCAGGGTTGAATTGGATAGGTTTGGTGGGGCTATGAGCTATCTATGTATGGGAATCCAAAAGTGAATACATAGGTTAGGAATATGTGTCGGGGGCATGACAATTGGAAAAGCAACCAAGTGGGAAGAGGGGATGTTGGCATGTCCACATTTGGTTACAGTTTTTCCAATGTTTTGGTACGTACCTTTATTGTCTACAAGTAAATATTGATATGATTATGTCAGTTTTGTTAAAGGGAAAATTGTACAAATACTATGTATATAAATCATTAGGATTGTGCGTAGATACCATTTATATACTTCGAATTTTACCAAAATACCACTCACACTCGTATTTTAGTGTGAATGTATCACCACCTCCATTATCATTCTTACAAAATGTAGTCAAAACATATCATCTGAAATCCATTTGAGGGGCACGTAAGGATCTCTAGATGACTTAGAGTAAGAATTCAATTCATTAAATGTCATGGACCTATCTTTTGCCTCCTCAAAGGCAAATCGTTCTCAACGAAATTCTGTTTTTGAAATATCCATTTTGTTAACTAGACTCTGGATTTGGAATGGTTGTCTTTTAGTAATAGTAGGGTTTGAAAACAATCATATGTTAGAATATGAGCATGAGTATGAATCCGTAGATTAAGTTATTTGATTCAAGTTTGGATAGGAAGTCTTATTGAGAATGGATTTGTAATCCATGTTATGCTGAAACACTATGTTGGTTGTCTATAAGGATTCTAATAGGGGAATCCTTATGGGATTTGGCGAGGATTATGTTGTGTATATATAGCGGCCTCTGCTCTCATAGTTTATACGCTCTATCATTGAACTAAGACCTATTATTAGTTAGAGCAAACTGATTACTGGAGAGAGGAGAAGGTGCACTTGGACGTGGCTGCTTCTTCGAGTTCATCTGCAGATATGATCTTCTCCGTACATTAGTTTAATGAACATTAGTTTGTGTTTTGATCACAGTAATTCATATTACTTGTTCTTGGTTTGTGTTTCTTCTAACATCATAAACATTCAACCCTTCAATTTAACCCAATTAATGGGCAAGGGTGGAGAAACATGTTGCAACTAGAATATGTTCATAGTTTGATTCCTACTAGTCATTTTGAGTAAAGGGAGCACTTATCTTTTGTGCCTCTTATTGGTAGTCGAGTATGCAAACCCTTGTTCCTCACAGCTTACTCTTAAGATCGACTGGGTAAACTTAGTCTTTCTATTCTTATTCAGAACCCACCTCAGATTAATCAACAAATGAGCATTGGTGGAGGCAGGTTCGGAATAATCCATTCAACCTTTTTCTTTTCTTTTTCTGAATTTTCCTCTTTCCTTGGAACTCCCTCTTGAAACATTTCTAGAGACTCAAGTCTTATTTCCTCGTCTTCTGGTTGCATTTCTCCTTTGAGCGGCATTTCCTCTTCTTCCTTCGTTTCGGAGGAACTTCCTCTCTAGGTTCTTTCTTGTAGCCTTATCCTTTTTTTGAATTCTTCTTCCGGATCACCTTTTGAAAAGCTGGAACGTAGGGGTCATGATGATCCAGTGGGAGGGATCTTCCTCACAAAGCCAAAGAGTAACTCTTATTTATCTCTTTGTTTTTCATTCCAAATTGAAACGGCATTGACATATAATAAATCAATAGGTTTATATTTAACTGGGAAAATGATTTTGATTGAATGATTATTCATCTATTGTATTTTCAAAAGTTCTATAAAAAAACGACGGTTTGACTCGATGTTGTTTAACGAGTTAGAATACAAAGTGTGGGCTAACTAAATCAATGGACAATCATGGTCCTTTTGAAAATAACAAAATAAAACAAAACAAATTTGATACTCAATTCTCATATTTTTTTTAAAAAAAAAAAAAAAAAAAACCCGAAAAAAGCTTTATGAGATGAATAAACCGTCATTGTAATTTCTCGTACCAATCACGGCCCCCCCACTGGCCGCCCGGCCGCCCCCATATGCAGAGAGTATTTGTGGATGTACTCGTCCTCTTAAACCCCACTTTTTCTTTCTTTCTTTTTTTTTTTTCCAACGAAACCAACTAGGATAAGGTGAATTAAAGGATCCATCATTTTCCTAGTATTCTATGATTGTAACCGTTCATCATATATCATGCAGTCAGTTTTTGATAAATATTATTTATATTAATTTTAAATTTTAAAATAATTTCTAAAATAAGATATAAGATACATGATGAACTGTCCTGATCACAAAATACCTAATATTCCCAGAAAAAGAATGCGATGAGAATCTTTAACCCAAAATAATATGCACAGTCTCACTCATAATAGTCATGTGGGTTCCACTTTTATCCATTGTATAAAGGTTTTTACCGACGCAAGACTGCAAAAGAGAGCCTACACACACAGAAAAATTGTACGGAAACACGAGAGAGAGAGAGAGAGATGATGGGGTTGCAACTTTAGGCTTTTGCCTTTTTCCATTTGGATTGGATATTGCGTGCCGCACCGCCGTAAAAACCCAAGATTCGTTCTTACACAAAATTGATACGTTATCAAAATCATCCAAACGGAAAAGCGATCCTCTCATGATTCCTTCTACCTAATCTTTCTCATCAAACAATTCAAATCTTTAAAATTTAATTTAACGGCCAAAGTTATTATAAATTTAGAGTGAAACTCTGTTTGTAGCCGTTGGATCAAATTTTAAAAACCCGAATTATTTGATGAGGTGGATTAGGTGAAAGGGATCCGAAGCGGATCCCTTTCCACGAAAAGGTATCAGAATTGTAACCCAATTAGGAAAATAAGCACTTTTTGAGGAAAATTGGACCATCAAAGGCTTGACTTACACTTAAATAAAAATCACCAAAACTATACCCAAAATGTGAATTCAGTATTATCCCAAACAGAAAATGTTACGCATGCAAAAATTATCAAAATGCTGCACAAGCAAATGAGTAACCTAATCAAACAGCACCAAATAAAAAAAAATCGAATTATGGAAACGTAAAAGTACGAAGAATTGCAAGTGTTGGATTGCCCCGTTATGACCTCACAAACCAGTGTCCTCCATTATTAACATGTCCTTCCATACAAAGACAAGCACCTAATTCATAAATCCAAAGCTTTTCTTGTTTTAAACCTACCACCTAATCTTTTGCTCAACTAGCTGGTAAAGGGCTCATCAATTATCAATTCAAGTGTAATACTCCATAACAGTTCAGGAGAATGCAAACAACTCAAACTTACATGCCACCAGGTGGCGTTACTCCAAATCTATCACGCGTCGCCATGAATTTAACTTTTATAGATGGCATCACGTGACTGATTTGTGGCACCACCTTGGTGTCCTTGTTGCATGAAAGTTCTTCTCCATGCTCACACACACGCACACACCCATTCATACTACCAAAATCAAAGGCACTGAGGAAAAGATAAAGCAGCCCTACGAAAATACAGTTCCAGACAGAAAGAGAAAAAGGGGAAAAGAAAAGGTAAAAACTGCAGCTTCCCATTTCCATGTAATCTCTCCTCTATGAGACTCTGATGATAGACAGAGAGAGATTTGTGTTCATGGATATTATCTAGGCAAAATCTAATCCAACCCTAAAAGATTCACAATTTTTCTCTACCAAAAAACAAAGAAATGATTTTTCCCAGGAATACCCAACAAAAGGATTTAACCAAAAATGGGAAAAATCTTGCAGAAGCCAAAATCCAATGCCCAATGAGATATAATCACACCAATCAATCACATAATAGCTAAAAGGAGTCTAATCACTCAGAACTTGGAGTTCCCGGATGCCAAATTTTGCCATTTCTGGTAACCAAACTACTCACATTACAATCCATGACAGATTTGATTGGCAGAGTTGAGGTGATAGATTTTGATTTAGATTGCTTAAACAAAACTAGGAAGTAAAATTTGAAAACAAAGGCAACCCATTTCCCCAATGTCTCCCAATCCAGCAGAAAAAAGACACAAAATCATCATATGGTCATTATCATTATCATGGAAAAAGAAAGAAACCAACAGCAGAGAGTAATTGGGCAGCGAAAACAAAGGAAGAAGAAAGTAGAAAGTACACTATTTGAGCTAAGATGAAAGAGGCCTCGGTGGCGGCAGCAGATGGCGAAGATTCTGATGAGGCTGCCGGGCCTGACCGCCACCATTGCCGGAGATAAACGGGTGCTGCAACAAGTGCGCCGCCGACAGTCTCTTCGAAGGCTCTTTCTGCAGGCAGCAAGAAATGAAATGCCTGAACTCACTTGAAGCAGTGGCCGGAGCTTCAGGCGGATCAGACATACAAATAGCCCACATTAAGGTCGCCCAATCACCTTGCCGCCCCACCGAGAACGGAAACCGGCCCATGTAAAATTCCAATATGCTGACCCCAAGGCTCCATATATCGCCGGCGTAGCCGTCGTACTGGCCGTGATTGAGATCGGTGTTGATCCTCTCCGGACTCATGTAAGCGATGGTCCCGACTGAGGAATTGCAGGGGTCCATGGTCTGAGCCAGAACTCGACTCACTCCGAAATCGGCGATCTTGACCTGGTTCCTCGCGTTGATCAGAAGATTCGAGGGTTTGATATCGCGATGCACGATCTTCCGCCGGTGGAGGTAGGCGAGGCCGCTGAGGATTTGCCTGGCCAAATCGGAAAGGACCTTCTCGTTCCCGATGTGCTTGCCCTCCAGCGACCCGCCGTCCATGTACTCGAGCAGGACCTGGATCTCGCCGTTGTGGTCGAACATGTCGTGGCACTTGACGACGTTGGGGTTATCGACGTCACGCAGGATTTCGATCTCGCGGCAGATCTGGCGGAGGGTTTCGATCTCGTGGTTGCCGTAAATCACCTTGAGCGCGTAAAGACGGCCCGTGGGGCGGTGGATGACCTTGTAGACGGTGCCTCCAGCTCCGCTCCCGATGCGGTTGGAGCGCTCGAGCTCGGAGAAGTTGATGAGCTGCTGGGCCGCGCTGTGGGCCGAGGAGGACTGGGCCGAGCTGGGGCCGGGCGGAGGGAGAGGGAGCGGCACAGCAAGCGATGTGTCCCGCTGAGGGAGGGGTAGGGTTAGGTCGTGACGACGTCGTCTCTGGTTGGTTACTTGTCTCGGTGGTGCTGCTTCTGCTGCTGGGTTCGTTCCGGGCGGCGGTTGAATCGGCCTCATGATCGGATGACGACAGCGACGACTCGTTTGAAACGACGCCGTTGCCGGTTAGGAGTTGAAATCGCGATTTCTTTTTGGGGGGTGGGGGGGGGGGGGTGGTCCGAGGAATTGGAGGGAGGGAGGGAGTGAGGGAGGGAGAGGCGATTGGTTTAATGAGGAGGACGATGATGATGAAGGTCGTGAGGATCACGAGTCATCGTTTGTTTCGTTGATTGGTTGAGTGATTGATTGATTGATGTCGTTTTTTATTTTATTTTATTTTTTTTCTATTTATTAATTTTATTTTATTTTTTGTTCCGAGAATAAAAAAGGAGGAAACTGCGAGAAAATGTAAAAGAAGTCACAATCCGGAGCTTTCTTTTCTCTTTGGTTTTATTTATTTTTATATAAAAAATTATTTACAAATAAAGTTAAAACCATATATAACTTAAAAAACAAAGAGGCTATGCAATGGAGAGATTTTTTTTTTTGAAACTACATAGTGGAGGAAATTTTTTCAAGTATTTCTCTAATTATGTAATGATATGTAGTATATGTTTCCGATTTTTGAAATTTAGCGAACAAATTTATAAGTTTGAATTCTCAATACAATGGAACAAGAACAAGATCCTTTGTTTCAACAACAAATTTAGGGTAATGCAAGGGAGATCAAAATTTTAAATTCAATTTACAAACTAAATGATGTGTCACCAATAAGACATAATCACATTAGTAATAATCTAATCATTAACAACCACAACATTTAATTTGCAAATTTAATTAAAAAAATTTAATTTTCATAGCATTGCCCACAAATTTTAATGTGTTCATCATTCACTTTTTCTTTTGTCAAAAATGTGTTCAGTATTCTTGATATGCTAAAAAATGTTTTTAGAGAAAGGTAGCATTCAAAAGAGAGAATCGAGAATAATGTTCCTCTTGATTTGTAAATAAGAGATTTTAGGTTAGATTCTCGTCAAAAGTGAATTTAAACCACGTTATTGTTAGCTCATTGTAAAGTTAAGCCTAACCCTCTTCCTTTAACGCACACAACATCGATTGTTCAAAAAAAAAAAAAAAAGAATCGAGAATTTAAAGGCCACGCGCTGATGGAGAGAGTGGCGTCAAGGACCAATCAGATATTCGAGGCGTCTGTGGTGGTGGGACCGGCCAGCATTTTTGGGTTTAGTATTTATTTTTAAATTAGAAAATATTTAAAAGTAAAATGTATATTTTAGCGCTTAAACGGTCCGCGCGTGATTTTCCCGGCATCGGTTATCTCATGGAAAATTAAGACAAACGATTTAGGCAGCTATAATCGCCTGCGGTGAGGCCCATTGATATTTGCCTTTATAGTTGTGTACAATAGTACCTATTATACCCTTCGGCCCTGGAAGCGTACAACATTTACCAGCGAGTATAGGAGGGGGGAAAAAATTAAAATACAATTAAAAGGTATATTCTAATCTTTGGATTACCAGCCGGCGGTCAAGTAAGGTTAATTGGTTTCGAGCTAGGAAGAAAGGGTTGGTTGTTTGGGTGGGTTGGGCCCCACATCGTTGGCGATAATAATTCAATAACCAACTTTTATGTTATTTAGTTTACAAAATTTAGTCTGCTTAGCATTACTCATTAAGAATTATTCTTAATCATTAATCAATTATTTTTTTCGTTCTACTATTTCACATTGGGCTTGTATATTTGGAAGAAAAAAAAGCCCAGCCCAAATACGAGCTTGTCCTGATCCAACTAAACCCAATTTCATACCTCACAATGAAAATTCTCTCCTGTACATTTTTTATAATCACTGAACGATTGAGAGTTAACTAAATGAGCGTTAAATCTAAATTGATGTGCAGGTGAGCAGCTCTAATTAATTAAGCAAGGAGAGCGTCGACCGTATTGACCTAAAACAAAAGTCAAGCTTTGCTTGTGCTCTCTTACTTCATTCCTCCACATGGCTTCCAAAAATCAAAGCTCAAAAGTCGCGTGTCCCCTCACAAAACTGAGATGTGGGCATTGTTCTACATGACACATCTAATATTTCTAGAAAGAAATTGAAATAAATTTTTTGCCCTCACATTAAGTCTACGCAAACACGCAAAAACTTTATTGTGCCTCGAAGCGTGTTTGACAAAATACCTAATTAATAAAAATCTCAGAATATAAAATACTTCGAATCACAACAAAGAAATCTACAAATATGCTGTTAACGAAAAAGATGTATGCATGGTTTGGAAAAATAGAGACAAAGACAGCCATTTGACAATTGTATTTGCAAGTTTGTGTCCGGATGTGACAAAAGCAGTGGACATTTTATTGGTTTGTTAGATTTTTCTTTGCTTTCTCCAACTTTAAACCCTTCTTTTCGCCTTTGAGTTCCAGCAAGTCAGCCTTGTTCCCCCCTGCCTACCATTATTTTTGGGGTGTTTCCTGGCAATTTGATGAGAGAGATTTTTTTTTTATTTTTTTATTTTTTTTTACTGACAACAAGGCTCAATATGCCTGTTTGGTGAGTTAGATGAGATTAGATTAGCATAGATTCATTAGACTTTGTAAAACATGACTTGCACCTAATGTATAAGGAAAACACATTCTATTATGGATTCATAACGTATTATGTCCAGCTCATAGTTTGACACAACAAACAATGGACTCTACTCAAGTTCATTTTAATTAATCACAAACTAGCACAACCAGCCCACCAAATATGCCAAATATCGTAATACAAGTGGTTGGATATTTGAAAGAAAAAAAAATTCAATCAATTGTATTATAACACTTGTGGTACTAGGTCGTTTTTCAGGAACCTAAAAATTTTCTCAGTTGTTGGGTGCTTTCGTTCCATCGAAATATCAAAGATTCTGCATTTCCTAGCATCTTCTTGTTCCTAATGCTTATAAAAGTTCAAGCAAGCCAAGCTAGAAAACAGCCCTCCAGCCTCCAGCACGATTGCAAATAATTGTGTGTCGTTCACATGGTTGCGGCGATTATCCTAATCTTTTTTTATTAGAAGCTAATCCTAGTCGTAATCCGAAGTTAAGTCCAATCTGTATTATATTAATGGATAAAGGAGATATCCATATAGCAATTGATAATATATGCAGTCAACGAAAAGAAAAATTATTAGATGTGGAGGTCGCAATGTCACTTGATGTTTTTAATTCAAGTGTTACGTTATAAGTGAATGATATCGATGATATATTATCAAACTAAAAATATTAAATCATATTTTTCAACCATATTGTAACTTGTAGTTTAGTAACATAAAGTGTGACAATCATACTAAAAGATTACACCTCATAATAAATATGTACTAAAATATAAGTAAATTGATAACACGGCATTGTCACGTCACGCCAAAGAAATTTTTGGAACGAAAAGATGGAAAGTAGAATGCATGGCTTGGATTGATACATATGTTTCTGTGTGTGGATCTGAATTAAATGCAATGGTATTTATTGGGTTGGTCTATTTGTAGAAGCTGAGATTTTGACATTTTTGTGCTAATCAATTCCAGCATTAAATTCCTCAACAAATGAACCAGTCCGATACCCTCAAGACAGGATGAGGTTCCCATCCGGATCGAAATGATAGGGATCCTAGGAATTATAACTGTTTATCATATATTGTACGGTTAGTAATTATTTAAATTTTATTACTTAAAATTAAACACAAATAGTACCTAATAAAAATTGATCATACTAAGATATGAGGATCCCTAAAATCCCCACCATATGCATCTGGATGGGATTCTCATCCTTCAAGACAAGACAAAAAAGTCAAATAAAAGCTAAATTTTTCTTTTTAAAAAATAAAGTATATTACGAGTAATACTAGAGAGATCAATTTTTTTTTAAATTAAATTTACAAATCAAATAATATGGTTGTAGATGTTTAAATTATTAATTAAGTGTTAATTAACGTTTTTGTTTCTTATAGATGACACATGAATTTGGTTCAAAAATTGGTCTTCTTAGTATTATCCTTAACAAAATAACCAAAGTCTACACATTAAGTTGACCAACTATGTATAATTAAAAATGAGTTTCGAGTTTTTTTCTTCAACCTACGGTTTTCTAGGTCCAAACATTTCTTTTTCATCTTAATGTAGTTTCGTGTATGAATATTGCTTGTATTAAAAAATTGATATATTCTCTGTTCGTTCGGCTAAAATAACTTACAAAATTGATAGAAATAACATTTGAATAAGATTTTGGAATCAAATTAAGTAGTAGATTTTTTAGGTTTGCAACACCAAACCTTAAGCATCTCCTAGAAAAGCTGTAACACCACTAAAGCTCTATTTTAAGGAGCCTAATCTAAGAAACTCTTCAAGAAGAGAATATATAATAGCAAAGTGAACAGTTATTCTTTAAATTTATAAAATCATTGTTCATTTGCTATGCAGAGATGACATGAAAGTTGATCGTACTGTCACAAGTTCACGCGCAATTTTCTTCGCTAAAGAATTTTGCGGAGCATTACGTGGTGAAGTATGAAGTGGAGGAAATGGATGGTGACGTGCAAGACATGAGCGATGATTTTGTTAGTAAGCTCCATGAAAAATGTGAAATTAATGAGTGAAACGAATTTAATGATGTTTGAGAGCATAGAACTTGGAATAATTTAGCGAAGTTTTTTTCGAACTATTTTTGTACTTTGTTAAGGATTAAAGTAAAAGTATATGTGACCTGACATTCTCTATGTAATGGCTTCATACGTACGATGCAGTTACAGAAGTGGATCCCTTGAGGATCTCGTGTTTCATTAGAAACCTGATTATTGATGCAGGGCATGAAATAAGATCATCGGAAGATTCAATACATTTGGCTTTTGAAATTTAGCCGATATAAATGGAATACAAGGGTTCTGAAGTAATGAATTTTATGTAATAATTCAATCTTTATTTAATGTAATAAATATATGTTAGTGGGGTAGATTAAGTGGGGTTAATATTAATGGGTTCATTAACGTATCAGTAATTATTAAGAGGGGGTTTAAGCACCTATAAATACTTGTATTTGTAAAGAATAAGAGAGAAGTTGTTTGAATTATAATATTGATATTTGAGTTGTAAACCCGTTTTTTATGTGCCTTTTTCTTGTTTAAGAGTTTGCATCTTTATT